TAATTAATTAATATATTAATTTAAAATTATTAATTACATGGACTTAAAATAAATATAAATATAATAAAATAATTTCACTTTTTTAATCTTTTAAAAAACACCAAATATAATTATAAAATTGATTTCAAAATAATTTTTAAAATAATCTTTTTTTATTTTTATACAAAATAAAATTATTTTAAAAACGCTACTAAAAACGCCCAAGGTACATTGAACCATCTTTATCCTATTTGCTAGCACCACAAGGAGAACTGGAACGCCGCCTAAACTTTCAACTCTCACCACAAGTATAAGATATCAATACATGTCAATTCCAACATTGACGTGGGAAATGATAATGCCAAATGTAGGCGTCACTCAGTCAACAAATTGCAAAATGTGGAAGCTTTCTAATAAAGCAAAAAAAATAAAATAAAAAGATTCTCCCTTTTTTTTTCCGTCGTTTCCTGAGTTCATTGCAGATCGATCAAAGGTTCTAGCTCACCTAGAACTTCAGTTCTATTGAAAAACCAAAAAAAAAAAAAAAAAAAAAAAAAATGGCAGCGACAGGCAAAGGCGCCGAATTGAAGCCTGAATACGACAGACTGAGCGCGCTAAAAGCTTTCGACGAAACAAAGGCCGGCGTCAAAGGGCTCGTCGATGCCGGGATCACAGATATTCCTCATATATTCCGTAGAAAACATTCTGGTAAAGAGATCCCAGTTTCAGGAGATTCCCAGGTAAGCATTCCGGTCATAGACCTCGGAGGACTAATTATCGGAGATTCCGGTAAGCGAAAGGAGATCGTTGAGAGTGTTCGAGAGGCGGCGGAGACCTGGGGGTTCTTCCAAATAGTCAATCATGGGATACCGGAGAGTCTTCTTGAGGAGATGAAAGATAGGGTTCGTCGTTTTCACGAGCAAGACACTGAGGTGAAGAAAAAGTACTATACCAGAGATCCAATGAAGCCGCTGATTTATAACAGCAACTTCGATCTTTACAGTGCTCCTACGACGAATTGGAGGGATTCGTTTTTGTGTCGTATGGCTCCGAAAGTTCCCAACCCTGAAGATTTGCCAGCAGTATGCAGGTATGTATATATGTTCGTTTACTAAATTGCTGTGCTTGTTAAAAAATGGCTTTTTTTTTTTGCTGAATTTTTATTTTTTTAGGACAAAATGAATTTGTTTAGTGATTGCTTTTTAGCTTCTTTATTAATTGATTAATTAATTTATTTATTTAGACGAAGATTGCTCTTAAAGGTGACTATAGGCTACGCAAAGTTGTGTTTCCATGGAGTCATGAACAAGGGTCTCCTTTATGTATATGACAATATATTAGGTTTTACTTCAATAATATTGTTGACGGTCAAATTTCTCCAATAAAAATGGGTCGGGTTATTTCTGGATTTCCTTTTGGATTACCGGTATGTGTATGGTGAACGTGTGAGGATTAGTTGAATATGTATATTTGTGCATTAACCAAATCATGCATAGATAAACGACACAAGAAATTTTATAGTAGTTTACTCCATATAATGAGAGCTACATCCACTGTGATTTTGTATTTATTTTGAGAAAGTAACAATTTACAACAATTGCTCTTATTCAATCTTTTTTTCTCTTTTCTGGAATCTCTCAACCCCTGTCTTACTGGGGGTCTTCCTCCTTTTATACTGGGCTTCCTTTGCTTAAGGGGTTTCCTTTCTAGGTGGGAGCACTCAAGTGCTCTTCCTTGGTAGGCCCAGACGTAGCCCACTAATCATCACTGTTCACTCAGTCAATTAGTCTCCTATTATGGCTCTGTGCTTCTCCGTAATACTTTTCTGTTCCCTGTGTGGGGCGGTTGGAGAGCTTGCAATTAATGCCTGCAGACGTCTTCTACTTTTGCACGCAACTCGTCACGTCTTCTAAAGAACGTTCCCTTCGTCGTCAGCGCTGCTTGGCCCAATCGCCCTCTTTGGGTCCTTTTTGCGGTCGAGGGATCTTCGTGTCTACGGCGCAATCTGTCGACGTCATAAGGGATCGTCGTCGTAATTTGGCCTTCGCGCTTTCCAGCGGAATAGGAGGGGTCCGTAGGCGTCGAGGGTTTTTGCTTGGTGGGGAGTAGTCAAGGCCACGTGTCGCATTTTCGTTCGTCCATGTGTCCGTCACATTTTTCCACACAACAAATATGTTCTAGAAAGAGGGTGTCATTGTATACAATTTACTGGGGCTAAAAATTCGAGTAGTGAGTCGACGACAAGGTCGACTCGAAACTCGCACTGTGACGACCCTTACTTCTGATCATTAATAATATGTACGTATTTAACTTATGCCTTAACATCAACTACTTATAGCTATGAATATTTAGCTACGTTTGTTTTTCCTTTTCCACGCGAACATAATCTTAAATTATCTTTTACATCATAGCATCATTAGTACATAAAAATACTTTGTGACTTGAGGTTGCTTTGCATCGCTTCATAGTCTCGTGGTCTTTACTTACATCACATAACCTATTACATAACCTTTACTTTTCATTACATAACGTAACCATATCCATAAATATAGTTTACTTTAAATACTTTACAGCGTTTACCAATAGTGTGTAGATCCCATTACCCACTTGCCCACATCTCACTGCTTCATCCTTTTCTGCACGCCCAGCATATAGATTTCAGAGAGCTGGTGTCTTATCTGAGATTCCTACAACATGAACAAACGTAGGCCCCGTTCATTTCGCTGATTCGAGTTTAGAATTCAAGTTTTACTACAGTAAAAAGCTCTCAGGAACAATCACATCTAACTTTTTTGCTACAGTAAAAAGCTCTCACATAAAGTCACATCTTAACTCGAATTAAAAATTCGAATCAGCGAACTAAATGAGCCCGTAATGAACTTTCACTCAGCAAGTAACAGTAGGTCATAATAAAAGCATACAATAATGCACACCCATATGTGCATTGACATCGTACATCCTAACTCAATTTCTAAACACTCATAACATTTATTGTATTATACTTCTTCTTTTCTTATTTTGTACTTCCTTCAATTTTCATTCTTATGTCATTCTTATTTCATAGTTCAGTTAATTTTCATTCTTGTGTCGTTAGTATTCTTTTCTAACATTCTGAACGACCTTGGTATTACGTTTTCTTTTCTTTCATTTCATACTTTTTTACGACTTATGTACTCTCATGTGGAACGGTTGTCGTATACTTTCATGTCTTTTACTTATGACTTCCGTACTCTCATGTAGAACGGTTGTCGTCTTATAATTTCATGTCTTTTACTTCGTACGGGCTCCATCTTGTTGTACTATTGTGCGCATAACTAGTTAGGAGTGGGGTAGCTAACCAAAACCAACTCACTCACATGTTTCATTTTATTCATAAACATAATAACATTTCCTTGCGAAGACCAATACAAACAGTATTAGTTTATTTTTGTCTTTTATCATCATTTCTTTATACGTCATTTTACTGTCATCTTTTCTCAGTATGACAGTAATTTTAATCTTGTTATGCATCTTTATGCATTTCTATCCATTTGACTTTTTGTGATTGTTTAACTTTTTGCTGACTTTGACTTTGACTTTGACCCAGACTTTTCACAGATTGAAATTCTACTAGTACTTAAAGTCCATAAGTACATTCATAATATCATACATCTTGAAACATTCATAACATCATACATCATTCAAGAGATACCATTCTTATTCTAACATTCATTGAGCATGTAATATGCACAATTCTGTGCAACATGGAAGAGTAAGTTTGTTTGTGTGATAGACAAAAATAAACTACTGATACTTACCTGCTTTTCAGTTATAGCATAATTCTCTACTCACCCAGATCTTCTATCATTTAATGTTAAGTTTTGTAAATAAGCACTCATTCAGATGGTGAGATTAACCTGTAGTATGCTATTTTTATTTAGCATAATCATAAAAGAATTAAATCCTTTCTTAGAACGTATTTATCCTTTTTATTAAGGATCGTACAAATTTATAATTTATATTATAAAAACTAATTAAATCCTCATAATTTTATCTTCCATAATTGTCTTTAAGAGTTTGTGAATTCGTATTGTTGTCACTATAACTGTATTAGTCAAGACTTGTGACTATATCTCACATTTAGTAACAGTTTTTATTTTTTTTTATTTTTTTTATTGTAGCTAAGGGTTTGTGACTAAAGGTTAAGTTTTTTGTAGTGGTAATTATGTTTGATTAAGGAAGTTCCGTAATGTAAGTAAAAGTCAAGGGTGATTCAGAAAAAAAAAAAAAAAAAAAAAAAGAAAAGAAAAGTTGCGTGTGAAATATTCTGTTCGAAACATTTTATAGTTGGAAATATTATTAAAAAATGTATCTTGTGAGCGAAAGATTCCAATTTTCGTACTCCATTAAAAATGTGGCTGTTTTCTCTTCAATAAAAATATAATGGAGGCCTTTTTGTTTGGCCCTGACTATAATGTTTATTTACTTTTTTTTTCTTTCAAGTTTCTGTCGTCTTTTTGTTTGGCCCTGACATTATTTTCCTTGTATTGACGTTTTTCTATTTTATTATTATTATTATTATTGTTGTTATTATTTGATTTTGTGCTTACTTGAGGTTAATGTCCACAGTAAAGTTCATGTATTTTTAGATGCTTCCATAGTGTTTCATTATTTATGTTAGTGTTGTCGTTTTTGAGTTATTGTCTTTATCAACGCTGAAGTAGTGTTTTGAGCTGTCGTTTCAAAGTTAATGTTCTTATTAAATCTTTCTATACTGTTTCTGGTGTGATGTTATTTATTCATTTTGAAATATTGTTGTTTTTGTCCGTGCATGTTTTGGGCTACTTTCTACTGTGGTATTTCCCTTCTTGTTATTGTTTGTTTTTATTGATATCGTTTCTTCTTTTTATGTTCGTTTTAGTTACTCTTCCTTGTCTTTTTTAGTTTGATGTCATTTCTTTGTGATTATTCTTGTTTTCTCAAGTTATAGTACTTTTAAATTTTTGCAGAGACGTACTTATGGAGTACTCAAAGCAAGTAATGAAAGTGGGGATTTTACTGTTTGAGTTGCTATCGGAGGCTTTGGGACTAAAACCAAACTACTTAAACGACATGGATTGTTCAGAGGGTGTAGCAATTTTAGGCCATTACTATCCTGCATGTCCACACCCAGAATTAACTGTTGGCACGACTGAACACGCCGACAATGACTTTCTTACTGTGCTACTACAAGACCACATTGGTGGTCTGCAAATTTTATACGACAATAAGTGGACTGACGTACCGCCTCATCCCGGAGCATTAGTTGTCAACCTTGGAGATCTTATGCAGGCAAGTATTTTTACTGAGTTAACTCTTGACCCATTCATTTTGCTGATTCGAGTTTAGAATTCGAATTTTATTACAGTAAAAAGTTCTCAGAAACAATCACATCTAACTTTTTTGCTATAGTAAAAAGCTCTCACACAACATCACATCTCAACTCGAATTAAAAACTCAAATTAGCGAACCGAACGAGTACTTGTACCGTCCCATATCCGACGTTAGCATAACACGTAGAATTTTAGTTAAAAGTAAATTTTATACGAGAAAAAATATTATAATTAAAAAATTAAATTTAAATTTTTGTTAAAATTAACTTTAAGCATATTTTTATAATGTGATTCGAGTTATGAAAAGAAAATACGCAGAATTATTTTCTCCGATAGCCTCTAAGAATATTCATTTGTTTGAATTGGACTCATAACACTCGTTTTTGAATATTTAGGCTCCGTTCACTTCACCGATTCGAGTTTAAAATTTGAGTTTTGCTACAGTAAAAAGTTTTCAGAAACAGTCACATCTAACCTTTTTGCTACAATAAAAAACTCTCACATAAAATTACATCTTAACTCGAATTACAAACTCGAATCAGCGAAGTGAACTAGCCTTAGTTACCTCGAATTTTGAGAAACACAATTTTGGATTCTATCTGTTAATAGACTGTTTATTTCGGACAAAAATATTAGTATGGGATCACAAGTGGAGTTTTAAGAGGGACTGTAAAAAATAAAATAAAAAATAAAAAATATATAACAAAAGCAGATTTGAAGAAAATATATCTAAAAAGAAAAAATCAGATCTAAAATAAAAGGCCTTATCATGATCCTAGCCGAGATCTGGTTTTTCTTCTTTATTGATTTTTTTTTCTATTTTTGGCTTCCTTTTATATCTGCTTGTTATATCTCTCTTGAAAACTTTCACGTGTAATTCCGGTGTTAAATTTTGTCTAAACCAATTGACAGTGTATTAAAGTAGGGGTCAAAATTATTCTCCAAAAAAAAAAAAAAAAGGCAGGGGTCAAAATTGTGTATTTTTTAAATTTTAGAAGATAAACTTTTAAAAGAGTACAATGGAGAATAAAACGAGACAAGTGAATATATTCACTAGAGGTTTTACATTTATTGTACATGACTATACATTTTTTTCTTTACCTTTTGTTTTCTGTTTCTGTTCTTTTCTCTTTTTTTTTCCAGCTTATATCAAATGACAGATTCAAAAGTGCTCAGCATAGAGTATTGGCGAGTCATGTAGGTCCCAGAGTATCGATTGCAAGCTTTTTCTGCACTCATTTGCTGCCATCAACAAAACTCTACGGACCCATCAAGGAATTGTTATCAGAAACCAATCCTCCAAAATACAGAGAAACTACTGTGAGGGATTATACTGCCTATTATATTTCCAAGGGCCTTGATGGGACTTCTGCGTTGGATCATTTCAAGCTTTGAAATGTAATTTGCAAGCCGTATAGAGAGCGAAGACTTCAGTTTAAGATATGTGGTTACGAATTCAGGACTGTTATTGGTTAATTAGTCTATTAATTATTGTCCTTTTTTTATTGAAATATGAAAAATTGGAATGTCTATGTCTAATTTTGTTATTAAATGTTTTCTTTTTCTTTTTTCCATTTTTGTGGTTGAGATGTTGGATTTCTCACAAAAGTGCTAGTTCTAAATAAATAAGCAAACTTTCAAAAACTCTGCCTGAGAGATGAAAAGCCCATAAACAAATTTTTTTTTTTTTTAAGAAATACTGAATTTATCTTTAAGAGTATATGAGTTGTAATTTTTAATCTTATCTAAATTCGTACGTTTTAAAGAGTATTTATCTTTTTTTTTTAATTTTTTATTTTTTGTCTCAATTCGTGTGTTCAAGCTCTCTGTTTTGTCAACCATGAGCTTGTATAAGGATAATTTTTAAAAATACTCTTAAAATAAAATCTATTTTTATTTCTACCTCTTAATATTAAAATATATATTTCTACCTTTTAAAATAAAATTTATCAAAAGATAAAATTTTTTAAAAAGAGTATTTTTAATAAATAGGTACTTAAGAAAATAAAATTTATAATAATATTATCTTTCGTGTCGTGGCGTGCTCGTTTCAAAATCCTCATGTCATTCCATCGTCAGTCTCAGGTCGTTCCATTGTCAGTGAGTAGCGTAGCCAAATTAACATCTCTAATGTTAATCACCAGTCAGTATGAAGTGGTAAATCGTTACATCTGTAATCACAAAGACCACAAAATTATAAATATACTAAGAGAGCTTTGGATTAATGTTCATCAAGGCTCAATTTACTGTTCCTTCTACAGTGAAATGACGCTTTTACTCTCGATTTACTGTTCCCTTCTTTGCTGGTGCATGGGCGGTTTGGTCTTTTACCGCGTGTCTGATGGGTTGCTTTTCTGATTTTGCCCTTCTGCTTTTCTTTTTTTCTGGTTTCATCCTTTTGCTTTCTCCTCTTCTCCTTCTTATGCCCGTGGCCTTTTGTGTACTTTTATTGGTTTGGGCCTTTTTGTCTTTCCGTTGTCCTCTTTCATTGGCTTTACTCTTTACTTCTTTGCAGAAGCTTCTGGATTTTTCTAACTTCTCTTACCTCTTCGATGCCCTCATTCTCTGCGCCTCCCTCACTTCCAGTCGTTCTTGGTACTCTGCTCTTTTCTTTCCTGGGCTTTTTGGTTTAGTACCTTTGGTGATTTTGTAACTGGTGGTTCTCTGTTGCTCTTTCAATCTTCTCTCATTCCTCTCCTTTCGCTGGCTGCCACCCATTTTTGATTGGATGCTTTGGTTTTCCTTGCCTCTGCCCATTTTTGCTTCGATGCTTTGGTTTTCCTTGTCTTTTTTTGTCTCATTTTGGGGGAAATGATAGGGTTTTATTCTTTCTTTCACTTCTCTTCTTCGGGTGTTTTTATTTGTTGCTTTGGTTTGATTTTTCCCCGTGGTTTTGTTAGATGGTTCCTCCGGCTCATGTGGTTTTTGGTGCATGATTTTTGGCTGTGATTTGGGGGAAATTTTAGGATCTTATCCCTTCTGTTTCCTCTCCTTTTCGGTTGTTTTTGTTTGTGGCTTTGGTTCTATTTTTCTTCGTGGTTTTCTTGGATGATCCTTCGATTCATCCGGGTTTTGGTGCAGGTCTCTCCGGTCTAATTTTAGGAGAAATTTTGGGATTCTATCCCTTTTTTCTCATGCTTTCTTCGGCCGTTCCTGTTTGTGGCATTGGCTCGATTTTGCTCTCTGATTTTGTTGAATGGTCCTTCAATTTATTTAGGTCTTCGTGCAGATCTCTTTGGTTTTTCTGGGCTGCCTCTACGCTCACTTCATTCGTGGTTTTAGTTTCGGTTTTTGTCTGCTTTTGGGCAATTGCAAGTTTGTGCTTTTTTTTTTTTGCCGCAGGTTTTCACTTCTCTTTCCATACATTTCTCCGTCCTTTGCTTTTGTACTTCATTTGTTTAGATTTTTTGGTCTTTACTAAAATTTCACCTGGGTTTTAGTGCAGGTCTTCTCCCTTTTCCTCGGTGGCTTCCATGTCCGTTTGATTCGTGGTTTTAATCTGCATTTGATTCGTGGTTTTAATCTGCATTTTAATACCTTCTTCGATGTTTTTTCCCGTTATTTGCTTTTGTCCCTTATCTGTTTAGATTTTTTAGTGTTGGCTGAGATTAGAAATAATTTATTATTAGTTGGCATACATGGTTTTTGAAAAATTCCCACGCGATAGTTCTCCTTTGTTCTTGATAGATCCTTTTGTTTAGAGAGGGATTTTTCTCCACATAGTTCCGTGTTGTTTCTGCTTGATCTCCATCTTCTTCTCCTACATTTATTGAATTGGTGATCTGTAGAGTCTACAATGTTGATTTTTCTTACCACGTTGATGATTTATACACATTTTGTTGCAAAAGTATTAAATGAAACCTTGATTTTCTCCCTGCCTGAGGAGGGTGAAAAGTTTATGCAAATATATATATATATAGACACTTTTTACTTTTTTTTCCCTTTCCGTTTCCCTTTCTCGAGCTCATTGTTATATTGGGAGCTCATTGTTATATTGGTGTTTCTCTCTGTTTTTTTTTTTTTTTTTGCCTTTTCCTTATTATAAACAATGGTTTTTTTCTTTTTTCTTTCTTTCTTTTTTTTTTTTTTTTTTGCTATTTAGTTAGGGGATCTTTGTCTCTCATCTTTGGTCCAACGACTATATGCTCTCACGTGTGGCGTTGTTACAGGCTACGCAACTATTCTCTGCTTTTGTATTTAAGAATATAGCTGTACATAAATTTGTCATGCATATCTTTGCTTCTTTCCATTGCATTTCACGTCTTTACTTCCCTACCTCACCTTCCATCATTTACTGTTCTATTTCATCATCCATCATTTACTGCTTGATCCTTTTATCTCTCTAGCTTTTACTCCTTCTACTCACATTTGGTTGGCTGATAATTCAGACTTGAGGCAATATTTATAACGCTCCAGGTACTGTTAACAATCCCTATCCATACCTTTATATAATTTTTAGCGATGTGTCGCTCTACTGTGGCGGTATTAATTGTGTTGTTTCTGTTTTGTTATCTGCCTTTGTTTTCCTTTGTATTTGCTCAGTATATGATATTTATATGTTGACCTCCTTATTTATTTCCCAGTCACACGTATATATGTCTGTGCCTTTATCTATCTCAGTTTTCATAAGTTTTTTTCACGTGGTAATGATGATCATTATTCATTTTGATCTGTTGAGTTTTGTATAATTTGTTCAAAGATTGCTGTGAATATGTTTCCCTTATTTAGATTCTATTTTTATCCCCTATTTTTGTGTTGGATTTTTCACTGATTTCTCCTGTCATTTCCACTTAATGCGAGGCCTTTGCCTTCTTTGTATTTTCAGTTTCGTTCAAAAACTATTTATAAGTATCAATTTCTTTTTCAACTACAGAGCTTTGACTTTTCTATCCTCTTCTTACAAAAAAAATTGTAGGGGGAACAAAACAGGGACCCTCCTATTTTATTTTGATCCCCTGATGATGCTCTTCATCTCCTCATTGCTTTATTTGTTACTTCTTGATGTCTTTCTTTTTCACGTTTCTCTTACTTTCCTTCGTCATAAATCGCAAGTTTTATTGCTTTCTTTTTTTTTTTCCTTTGTCTTTCAATTCACCTGGTAGTCTTTGGACAACTTTATATATTGCTCCGCTTATTTATTTTGTAACATATATGACCTATAATGTGTGTGGTGGATATAACATTGTGCCCTTTTGTGCAGTTGTCATAGTAGGCAGCCATAATCTATTTATCATACATTGCTGGGAACATTCTATATCTAAGCCACAGTTGCTGGCTGAAAACATTGTTATGCCTGTGTCTATTACATTTTTAAGCCTCTTTTGCCCATTTGTTTGTTTGCTCATTTACTTTATTATTTGTATTTTCTAAGGTTTGTTATTGTCTGTTGCCTCATCCTATTGCTACTGCATCATTGACTGCCGTTCGCGTTCAATTGGTCCACATTTGGCACATTAGGGAGGGTTTATAGTGTTTGAGGTATTGTTAATAGTTTCTACACGCGACTTTATAACTGTTGTTACTCACACTACATATATCAATTCCCTTGCTGAATGTTCTGATAAGTTGTTTCTCACCCTGTTCATAAATGCTGCCAACCTAAAATGTTGGGAAATATTCTGCTCCATTCTTGGTGAATGCTAATGGTTTGCATCTTTTTTCTTTTGTGTTTTATTAGTGATTGGTAAGTATGGATTGATCTGTTGTTTACTCCTTTCTTAATCACATATGTGCTTAAATGTTCATGTTTCACATATTTAGTCTTCATTCGGTTTTCTAATCAGGCCATAATCATTCTAGCTAATCTTCATATCGCATGTTTTGGATAATTTATTAAAAAGTTGTTGTCAATGCATTTTCCTCCATCAAATTCCCACTTTGGCTACTTTTTGTCCTTCTAGGCTTAAAACCTTTTGGCTGTTCCTATTTTGGTTTCTCTCCCTGTTCTAACGCCTTTGCTTCTTTGGTATTGCTATTTCATTGAAGGATTATCATGCACAATGTGGAGGGAAAAAAAGACAAGCCTCTTACTTAATATTAATTTATTTATAATATGTCCTAACGTTCATTGTTCTTGTCCTATTATGTGTCTTCATTCTATTTTGTATTTCCTTACTACATCGTACTCATATATTAACTTCCTGTTTGTGCGTTTTGTTGCAAATACTGTTCCCCCTGCAGTGGAATGCCCGTTTTGTCCTTTTTCCCTTCATCTTTCCTCCTTCCATGTAGGGGCTGCTTGGTCTTTTTAGTTCTCACGCGTTGATTTAGCTGTTTTGTCCCCACTTCTTTTTCCTTCCTCGGTCTCTTAGTTCGGTGTTATACATATACGCACATATCTTTATTTATAGTAGTTTCGTTCAGCTTTTTTACGTGGTGATGATGATTACAATTGATTTTAATGTGTTGAGTCTCATGTAAATTGTCCAGAGATTGCTGTGAACATATTTTCCCTACTTGAATCCTCATTTTATTGTTTTTGAGTTAGATTCTTTCATAATTTCTCCTTTGTT